CCGTGAGCCATGGCCGCTGAGCCTGCGCGTCCGGAGCCTGTGCTCCGCAACCGGAGAGGCCACAACAGTGAGAGGCCCGCGTACCAAACAAAAAAAAAATTTGCTTAAAATACTTTGCTCATTTGAGTTTTTGCATATATATCAATTTGCAAAATAAAATTAGTGAGGCTTTTAGAATAACTTTTAGCCAAATTCTTCATGTCTTGAGCCTTTAAACAAAGAGGAAACATCTTTGTTGAGAGATAATACTGTAGAGAATTAAAGAAGTACAGTTTCCTCTCAGCGACATAACAGTGTGTCCATCACCACCTTTTCTCTTCCCTAATAGTGAACTGCAAGTCAAATTCTCCAAGTTACAGGTAATAATTATGGACAAAAGGGATTGAATATATCACTTCAGTAGTTTTTTCTTTGCTTTCTTGATGGGTGAATTTTAGTTCCCTGCTTTTCATTTAACTTAAAAATCTGAATCCAGTATCTCAGGAAAGTTTCATGAAGTTATAACTAATATTCTTCTCCTTAGAGGAAAGATGAGTCTCTAGTATATTCTTTCTTTGGAAATGTCTTCTTTCAATTCTCACATTTTCTAGTAAGTCCTGGTTCAGGCTTGGTTAATTGAACTTATTTAATCTTGAAGTAGGAAGAATCTACCACAGTTTATAATGAGAAATTCCCACTCCCTTAGAATTAATTATCAAGATGAGAAATTAGATTTACCATACCACAGTTAACAAAATGAATATGAATTTTAAGGTAATGTTGTGTCTTCTCAACCAAAATGAAGTTATATAACAGTATGTTGTTGGTGACTTAGTACCTAAAGATTTAGTATTTTCAATATAACTAAGTATGCCTTTTTAGATCTTTTTCTCCTGAAAACAAATAAGTATGATTCTCTTAATCTACTTAGCAAGGTGAATACAATATGATAACTAAGGTTGAGGAGATATGTTTATTCATAACAGTGACAAAAATAAAATGCCACTAATTCTTCTTGAGAAGAATTTAAGAATCAGTAATTAAAGTATACTAAAAAGGACTCATTTATGCTGTTTTGTCATTCCCACTGCATAAACCTCAAGGATAGTATAGGTATATGTCTTTAGTACATCAAGGAATGAAGGATAAGCATCCTGAAATCTAAGTATTTTGCCACAGTACAGCTTCCCAAAGGGAAGTTTCCCATAAAGAGGCTTCTGCACACTTGACCACAAAGGTTTCGCCAAGTGTGGTCATTTGCATAGCGTTAAAGCTGGAAATCAAAACCCAGGTTTTCTAATTCCAACTCCATGGCTTTTCCCACAATCTCATAATGCCTCTTAACTGAGTAAATTTTCTAATTAACATCTGAAGTTATTGTCTTAGCTATGTTAAGCCTGAGCCATAAGTTGTTTCTGGCTTCATGTATAGGTCATAACAATACCTCTTCTGTATAGGTCATAACAATACCTCTTCATAACAAGGGAAAACAATCCCTTTTCCATTAGCTGCTTAAGGTAGTCTGCATAAGAAGAAGGGGGGATTCTCCTCTCACTCTTCTCTGGGGAATGAAAAGAAATCAAGTTCATTATCTCCCAACCATAAATCCAAATCTTCCTAAGTGCTTACTTCTCAGGTGTAAAGGGGAGAATGAAAAAAATTGTATTATTTCATTTGTTTCCAGGCATATATTTGTATCCAGGCATATATTTAGAAAGCCTTGCCCAGGACAGCATGCTAAGACTAGAATCAATGCTGCCACCTTTTGGCAAACTTGTATCTATATCTTATTACATAGTTTCCAAAGAATGGAATGATCATCAATCTACCTCCAGCCCCTAATTCATTAATATGTCTTAGATGATATTAACCCAACCTTTGTAAATATAACCTGTCAAAGGAATCAATCAATAGTTCAAATGACAGAGCACTCAAAGAATATTCCTAAAATTAAAGGCCTTTCTGTATATGTGTTACAAATCTACTGTGGAAGTGTGACCCACCTCATCTGTTAATACTGTATCTCCTTTTTCTAGCTGGCTACACAGAAGGACCCATAGCGTTGAGGGTCTCACATCCTTGCCTGGAAGACCACCATAGTTACTGCATCAATGGTGTTTGTGCATTCCACGATGAGCTGGAGAAAGCCATCTGCAGGTAATTGCAAAGAACTTCCCAAGCCCTAGAGATGGGAGAAGGAGAAGGTATGCCTCGTTTCACATGGTGTTTCACATAGTACATTTCCCCACGCCTCCATCTTATCTAGTAAAAAAGGTACATGATCTGAACGTGATTCACCAATTCTCTTTGTATTTGAATATCTAAGGGGTCTTTTTCTAACCTACCTAGTTTTCATTACTCAAAAATATGGTTCCTAGATTAGCAGCATCTGTATAACCTGGGAGCTTGTTGAAAATGAAGAAGCTCACACCGTACCTCAAAACTACTGAATCCAAATCAACTTTTAACAACATGCTAAGAAGTTTCCAAGTTTTTATGGATAGATTATAGGATAAAATGAAACAGACTATGGCAAAAACACTTCAGGAATATAAAGTTCTAGATCAACTGAGATACCATTTTTATGATTGTTGATTTGCTCAGCATCCTCCTATGAAAGAGTAGGTTAACAATTTTCTAGATCAGCTCATGCAAGGGTCCTACCTTTCTCTCCTACCAATGAGGGAAGTTGCATTAATATGGGGTCTTAATCAAATGATTATTGTAAAATACATGGCTTCTTCAATACATTTAATAGATTGGCTTTCATTTGGTATTGGCCTCTTTAATTAAAATCACTTTTTATTAAATTTTTTCATTCTTCGAAATTTGTCATTTGTGTTTCTATCATGAGTTTTAAAATTATACATTCTTTTCTTTTTTTAAAGGTGTTTTGCTGGTTATACTGGAGAAAGGTGTGAGCACTTGACCTTAACTTCATATGCTGTGGATCCTTATGAAAAATACATTGCAATTGGGATTGGCGTTGGATTATTATTAAGTGGTTTTCTTGTTATTTTTTACTGCTACATAAAAAAGAGGTATGAAAAAAATACAAATTATGAAGTCACTAGATACTCATTCATTTGAGAAATATTCACTGAGCCCCTACAATGTACCAGGCACTGACATATGTAATTTTTTTTGTTTGTTTTTTTGCGGTACGCGGGCCTCTCACTGTTGTGGCCTCTCCCGCTGCGGAGCAACAGGCTCCGGACGCGCAGGCTCAGCGGCCATGGCCCACGGGCCCAGCCGCTCCGCGGCATGTGGGATCCTCCCGGACCGGGGCACGAACCCGCGTCCCCTGCATCGGCAGGCGGACCCCCAACCACTGCGCCACCAGGGAAGCCCGACATATGTAATTTTTTAGTGAAAATATGGCTGTAAATCTGGCAAGTTTCTGCATATCTGTTTTGATGCCTTTTCTCATAAACCCAGACAAGAGGTAAAAATTTACCCACAGTTGCAATAGGATAGTTCCAATTTACAGTTTCCCTTCATCCCCAACTCTGTCTGCCTACATCAAAGTTATAAATGTGTAGGACAGTCGGCCCACAAGGGTAAAGATTAATGTGTTTTGTGCACAATTATATGAAGTGTCGAATACCATGTCTGGCACACCATAGACACTCAGTAATTATTTGTTGAATGGACAAATCAAAACATGAGTGTTAAATGAATGAAAATGTGTGATAAATGTGGGCCATTTTCTTCCCAGACATTAGTTGAGGGTATATTCAGGAGATACTGTCTACTGTTAAAAGCTAAACAAGATAAATTTGATCCACTAAGTATAAATTACTCATGCACTAATTATTAATCATTATTTCTGGCTTTTCCACACTGGCAATTTTTCCTTTAATCCATGTATAGGGAAAAGTCAAGAAATAATGTGATATACATTAAAGAAAAGGTATAAATACATTTCCCTTGCTGTACTCCATTAACTAAGTTGTCATTTTTAAAATGACCAAAAATTATTATACAACATTAAAAAAAAATTGCTTAATAATTGCATCTTAGAGGGCTTCCCTGGTGGCGCAGTGGTTGAGAGTCCGCCTGCCGATGCAGGGGACGCGGGTTCGTGCCCCGGTCCGGGAAGATCCCACACGCCGCGGAGCAACTAAGCCTGTGCGCCATGGCCGCTGAGCCTGCGTGTCCGGAATCTGTGCTCCGCAACGGGAGAGGCCACAGCAGTGAGGCCTGCGTACCGCAAAAACAAAAAACAACAACAACAAAAAAATTGCATCTTAGAATAAAATCTGTTAATATCAATTGTGGATCAATTGATATAAAATCTGTTATATCAGTTGCCTAAGAGACCAAGAAAGAAAATAAAAAAGGAAGTAAGACCTTTTAATATTAACAAGATAGCTGTCTGGGATCAGGTTCCCTAAAAGCTGAACCTAAGATAGAGACTCCTGACTGAGTGATGACTGGTCAAGGGAATGCTCAAAGGTGAAATCTGTAATGAAGTAGGAAAACTAGAACAGAGGAAGAAGGTAAGCAAAGATGTAGTTTAGCTGAAGTCTATCCTCAGCCTGATTCCAAAGGGAGACCTAGAACATGACTGGCATCGCTGACCCATCCCAAGAAGGTGAGGGATCTTGGTTGTAGTACCCAGCATCATCAGGCATGGGTGTCAGAGTGCTCCTGGCAGGGGCTTGGAATCTCCTAGGAATCTTCAGGCAAAGTCCTCTCTTGGCTGAGGACAATCTTCTAGAGAAGGATGGTACTGTGAGCCTTATTAACTAACACCCACAACTGCTGGGGGATGGGTATACCAGTGGGTAAAGAGGATATGGGTGGGATACCAAGAGCAATTGCTACACCAGAGCATTTATATAATCCTCAATAAGCTATACAAACAGCAAATTCATATGAAAACCAATACTCTGTTTCAGGTGTCTAAAACTGAAATCACCTTACAATGTCTGTTCCGGAGGAAGACCACTATGAGGCCTTTGTAAGAAATTTTCATGAGTCATTGGTGAAAATCAGTGGGCCCAAAACTGAAATTTTCAAGTGAAACAACAAAACTTCCTAAGCTGACTAGAAAGTTGGGATCACGATGAAACAAGAGAATAAATTTCAACATTGGTCCTTTGGCTTTGCCATTTTTAAAGTGCCACGGGAGCCAAGGAAACAAGGTACAGTGACAGAGGTCAAGTTCACAGTCCTACTCTGGGTTTGTTGCTGTCGTGTGATTATTGTTCTCACTGCAGAGAGACTGAGTTTTGTGCTTCTGACTACGTCAGATGTGAAATTTCATGGGAATAATTATCAACCTTGCAGCCAGCCAAAGCAATGCCAAGCTTGGATCCTTCACTATGCTTGCTACCAGGATTCTGGACCACTGCTCTACGGACCAAATCCCAAACATGATGCTTTCATGGTGTCTAAAAGAATGCGATGTCAGCTATTCAGATGACATTCGTATTATGGCACCTCCAGTGAACCAAACTTATGATTAAAGTCTAAGCTAGAGAAAAGAAATGGAATGTCCAAGGCAAACATAATGATACCCAACTTGTGACAACACTGTGAAATATGGAATAAGCTAAAGAGTTTCTGATGACTGAAAGCTACCTGGATATTGAGCCCTGAGGAGGCAAAAAGGTTTTGTTTCTGCATGGATTATAAAATTTTGTGTTGGACTCACTGGTCCCCGAATGCTTATGTTCATCACTTTCTCCTATTGTTAGTGGAATTACCTGGCGATTATCTATTTGGACTGAAATTCTAAAATTCTACTAACAAATAAAATTCTACAATTGGCTCTGAAATAGAAACCGAAGAACTTGACATAAGAATTTTTCACCAGCCAACAGCGGGTGGACATTTTCTTTACCATTTCTGGGTACCGGAGAGAAGATTTGCACAGAGGGAGAGAAAACGGAATATTGGTAGAAATAACAATTTGAGAATTAGGGTCCTTCCTCTCTAATCATATTTCTTCCACCTAATTCGAATAGTCTTGTTCAGGTCCCTTAATTTCTTTGGGCTTTGATCAGTTTGTACAATGTCCTTCTAACTCTAAAATTTGATTGTGACAGAAGAGAGAATATTTTCCACCTCTCAACTCCCTCTCTGTCCCTGATCTCACCTCTCACCCCACTGGATATCATTTTAGGTGTATATTTTATTATTTGGTTTGTAAGATAATAATTTAGGAATTTGTTTTTAAAGGAAGTAAAACATGAAATTAAAAATAATAATATCTACCATTTTTCTTTTAGATTCAATCTAAGACTATGGACTTTTTTTCTATTGTGGTGTAGATAAGCAAAATAATTTTGATCATGAGATGGGTTAAAAAAAGATCAAACATGAATATTCTTACAATGGTAGCCTAGTAGCAAGCCTTTCTCTTATATCAAGTTGTGACTTTTCATTCACTTCTAAACAAAACTACATTCTGCTTTCCTTTGAATAGAAGGCATTTCACTTGCTTTGTTTTTCCTTCAGAAGGAATTTAATGCAGATGAATTGCATGTCAGCACTTTCTGCATGACCTCTCAAAGTATGCAGAGGTTACATCATACCAAGGAGTGGGGAGATGAAGGTTCCTCCCAGTGACTCCAGTGACCGCACCTAGAAAGCTGGGCTTTTCCTGAGCATTTCAAAAAGGTGTTAAAAAGCTGGGTAGAGTCCAAGAAGAAACACTAAAGCTTAATTAAGGACTGCCTCCCGATGAAAAGAAGAGGAAGTAAGGGTAGAGTCTGAGGAGGTGATAACCTAAAAAGTTATAACATTTGCTGTCTATAAATATTTCTAAAATGTAAACATAATTGAATTGATATTAATCAACAAATTAAAATTCCCAGAATGCCAAACCAAAACATAAAACCAATAGAAATTCAATTTTTTTCACCTGTGGAAGAGTATACATTAACATTATAAAATCCACCCAGTGAGACCACATATATGGAAATTTATTTATTTATCTATTTATTTTTATAAATTTATTTATTTATTTTTGGCTGTGTTGGGTCTTCGTTGCTGCCCACGGGCTTTCTCCAGTTGCAGCGAGCAGGGGCTACTCTTCATTGAGGTGCACGGGCTTCTCATTGCAGTGGCTTCTCTTGTTGCAGAGCACAGGCTCTAGGTGTGCAGGCTTCAGTAGCTGTGGCACATGGGCTCAGTAGTTGTGGCTCGTGGGCTCTAGACTGCAGGCTCAGTACTTGTGGCTCAGGGGCTTAGTTGATCCACGGCATGTGGGATCTTCCTGGGCCAGGGCTCGAACCGGTGTCCCCTGCATTGGCAGGTAAATTCTTAACCACTGCGCCACCAGGGAAGTCCCTAAGTATACGGAAATTTACAGTGTAGCTAACGAGAAGCTATCTGTTTATGGTCCGTCATACAAAAGAATCTTGTGATAAACTCCTAGAGTTCATTTTCCGGGAAGGAATCCCTGGCATTCCTATGGTAATATTTACACATGTAAGCAGGCCTTAAGTAGGAAAATGCATAAGTATAAGATGTTCTGCAAATTTTTCATTTTCTATTTTTTCCTATATGCAATAAGACCCTGAAAAAAGCCTACCAGTGAAGCCCTGGCATCAGAACTACATTTTCAGCTATTAGGTGAGGTGGGTCATTTAGGAAAGAAATGAGAACATGTTTCTGGCATCTTTGACTAAATCAAACGGGCCAAGGGGTTCATCAATTTCTTTTATTTCCCATTTTGTCTCCTTCCTGTTTCTGCCCTTCAGTTCTTGAGAACACATTCTTAGGTCATCGATATTCATGAGTGAGTCATTAGTTAGCCTTTTGGAGCATAATGGCTGTGGGAGCAAACACTATAACTTCAGTCGTGCTTGAGTGAGTAAATTTACAAAAAGGGAATTATAACTGCTTGTTATTGTATCTTCTTTCTCCAAATTACTTTTTTGTATAATTATGTTTTTATAATGTTGGAAAGTAGATGAAATCATAACACATTCCATCTTTTAGTGTTTCCTGGCACAGTACAACCCTTAATTATGAAACATCTATTTTGATGATGTCAAGAAGATTTCTATTCATTACACGTAATTGAAAAAAAAAGTCTGACTAATTTAACCTTTTGATGTTGAACATAGGATGATTTGCCACAGAGGACATGAGTAAACAATTTAACTTCTCTGTCTTACAAACTGTAACACATTCTATGGTATGATATAAATATTGATATCCTACAACTCATACTCATGGGAAGGGTTACCAGAATCTCTCTGTTGCAAAATACCACTCTTTCTGGCTCACATCATGATTGCATGACATCAGGATATTAGCAGTTGCCAAGATGAGCTGGAAGTGTTGAAATTTAATTTGTGAGCCTGGCGCTGCTAATCTGCATGAGTCCACATTTCTGTCCAACCTTTTGGCACAGCTCTAGTCCGTAGCATATTCAGAAGCATATCTTCCAACTTCAGCTCCAAATTTCTGTGAGATGTTCAATGAATGCACAACTCAGAGTGCAAGGGCCTAAGTAGTCAATATCCTAAGAATTCAAAGGCTAGACTCCTTGAGAATACCCACATGAATAAATGTGTCCCATCTGGACATTTCACTCCTCTGCCAAAACTAAACACGAGGGCTGTTATAGATTGTGGACAACACCCACAGCTTCCAGAGAAGCATCTCCTAAAGATTAGGAATGTGATGATATGGTAACAAGAAGACTTCAATTGTTTAATCGGGTCTTATCTCTATACTTCATGGCCTTTCTTGGTAATTTTTATGTCTCAGATAATATTGGAGCAGAAGTCATTTAGATTGAAATTCCGTTAAGACCATAAGCAAGCAGGTATCAAACTAGCAGTGTTAAGAGAGTGTTAATTAGGCTTCCCATCTTTCTGGAAAAAAATGGCATATACAGATTTTTTTAATTGCACAAAAATATTGATTCAATATTAAGTCCCTTCACAAAGCAAGTTAAAGTAATAGTGTAATATGGCTATCATCTATAAACACTTATAATATTTGAAAAGCATTGTTAGCTTTGGTTTTTTTTTTTTTTTGCGGTACGCTGGCCTCTCACCGTTGTGGCCTCTCCCACCGCGGAGCACAGACTCCAGACACGCAGGCCCAGCAGCCATGGCTCACGGGCCCAGCCGCTCCGCGGCATGTGGGATCCTCCCGGACCGGGGCACGAACCCGCGTCCCCTGCATCGGCAGGCGGACTCCCAACCACTGCACCACCAGGGAAGCCCTAGCTTTGTTTTAATTAATCCACACCTATATGTAATTGAGGCTTAGAGAAGGCAATTCACTTTTTCAAGGTCACATAGCCTTTAAGTGGCAGAGCCTAGACATGAACCAGATAGATCTAATGCCAAAGTCCCTCATCTAAACCCTAGATGATAATGCTTCCCAATATTTTATGAGAAATACTAGTGTTGGGGGTTGGTTTCTTGATGAGCTTGGAGATACACCCAAGAGATTTGTATACAAATGAAAAAAAGTTCTTTTCTTTAAAATATATAAAATAATGACCTTTGTCATGGATCAACCACAAAAATTCCCTGCTGTCATCTGAAGATTATTAAAATATGCAGCAGATCTTCCTTAGGGTGGGGCCAGAACAAGCGTCAAGTACCTGTTGACAGTTGAATGTACAGTCTGGGGAGAGACTTTAGACTGTAAATGAACCCTGGTTTATCCTCAGGACATAGAGAATGAGGTGGTCATTTGGGAACACTTGATCCCTGTTTGTGGACAAGGGTTTGCTGGTACCAGTGTTATCCTAACTGGGACACTCTTGGTTCAGTTTGGTAATGAGATGACGAGTGAGTGTTTTTCACATCTATAGGAAAATCTCATCAACCTCCTTCCAACACATCACTCTCAATCCTACCCTAGTGCCATATATACCTTAGAGGAAAACAGTCAATGGTAGTGGTCCAGCTTGGGGCAAAAACTGGAAGCAACATTAAAAAAAATCTGCAATGGATGGACACTTCAAGGACCTGTGATCTAGTCTGGCTGTATGATTGTCTAATTTTGCTGGGGCCCTTTGGACAGGCTATCCTTGTCTGTTAAGTGAAGAAGTTACACTCTAGAGATGACCTCCACACTCCCTTCCTAGTCGAAAGTCTTATGTTGAAAATGTGCAGCCTAAAAGGCAGATCCAGTCCACAGGCATATTTCCTTTGGCTTTCATGATGTTTGTTTTAAATCAAGCCCATATTTAGAAATCAAGATGTTTTAGTATAAAAATCCAGCTTTTCTAGATTCTAGAAAAATAGGAGATATAGGGGATGTCCTAGAAAAATAGGAGATAGAGCTCTGACCCTGTATTCTTACATAGCTTTGATCAGAAGGAGTGAGCCCTTGACATGCAGCCTGCTTCTGTCACTATGCTTCCCATTCAGAGTTCCTATAGACCTTAAAGTCTGCCTCCATGGTTCTTTCATTGGATTAATTTTAAGATCCTGCCTCATCTAAATTCCTCTGAGTCTAGTCATCAGAGTACCTGCAGAGGGCCTTGTTGTACTGAAAACCACTCAAGCCATAAAAGAATCTCAGATTCTTTAGGAGAACCCACACTCACCTGGAAGCTGGCAGGGGCAGCATCCAATGACTCAGACTCTCTGCCCTGCCCATGCCCTCAGTCACTCTCTGCTACAATCTTTGTCAGATTTGTTTTCTCAGTGTTCAATCCTGCTTATGTTAACTCCCTGCTCAAAAACAAACCTGATTCCCCATTGTGCACCATGTTTAACAAAGGCTCCCCTCCCAGTAGTGTGAGGCCTTCCACAGGGAGGCTCTGGTAGTCTCTTTCTCATGTACCCTCCAAGGGCTCCCTACTCAGACCATCAGCTGTAGCCACCAGCTGCCCTCTGCTCTCTGAACAGACCTCACAGTTCCTATCTCTGTGTTAGGGTCTCTGCTTTTCCCTCCACATGTATTACCCTCCTCCATCTCTGTGTGTCAAGATCCTATGCAATTTTTTTCAAATCCTGCCTTCTCCTTGAAGAATTATGTTATTTACAAATATCTCTCCTTTCCTTTGAACTCCTTGATTATTATTTTCTTTAACCTCTCAAATAGTGCTTACATTCTGCCTTGTGTTATAATGATTTTTGTTCTTGGCCAAGTTCCAGTGGTGGTAATAATAATAATAATAATAATAGACTTCATTAAGTTCATACCATAGACTGGGCACAGTGCTAAGTTACTTCTATACAGCAACTCTTTCAGTCCTCAAAGACAGCCTGGAGGAAGGTATTATTGGGAACTG